GGTCCTGGTCTCTGTGTTTTAGCTTTCAAATGTTCTTATTTTTTAGAGAGAATACAAAATAATAATAATAAAAACATTAGAAAGGATACAGAATCCCATTTAACAAAATAATACGAATTCAGCAATGTTTGTAGTAGTGTGTAGTGTTGTCTTCAAATTCGTTGTTTACTTTCCGTTTTAGCAAGACACACAGACTGGTGCCTTCCACACAGACCGTGACATTCTCTAGCTCCATACTGTAACCATCAGGCCTGGTCAGCAGAGCCTTGATTTCATCAGCCCTGGAGCTGCAGTGCCCTGTAGGTAAACCAGAGAGTTTGCTTTGACTTTTGAGGGTTTCAATGGAAATATCAATTCAATACTGTACACAGTTTTTTGTGTTGTGGGAACAATTACCAAAAATAAATAAATAAACAAACAAACAAACTATGTTCATTAAAGGTCATGTTTCTTAACAAGTGCTATAGTGCCTGACAATCAGGGTCGATATTCAGGAACCACTGATGGAGGGTACTAGTAGTCGAGAAATCATGCCTGTGTTTGTTTCACAGTAAGCCCCGTGCTTCTTGGCTCTGGCCAGCCTTCCCTTCAGAGCACAGTGTGCTTTTATCTGACTCATTTTGTCAATTACATGCAGACTGTTTGAAGTTATAAAGCTACCTCTCATAAAGTCAAATTCACATTTTTTTCCAAAAACAAGTGCACAGCCAGCATTATTTGTGTATAATAATGAAAATAAATTAAGAGCACAGGAAAATCTATTTTTTGGCAGCAATGAATGAAATGAATTAAGCAAACACTGGCTGCTACCTTCTCATTTTAGAGATAAAAGTAAATTTAATATTTTTTTCTAGTAGGACTGTTCAGAGACTATGTGAAAAACAAAGATTAATAATCACAGACCTTCTGACCATACTGTACTATCATGAAAAATGTATATATGCATACGGACAATTTTAAAGGGAAAAAAGTTTAGATTCTCAAAGGGAGTCAGTAACTGACACAAAAAGTATTAAAGCTCAACCACCACTAATCTACAGAAAGCTCTAGTAAATTTTAAGAGGAACATTTGTTTCAGTTCAATTCTTGGGGCTGTAAATCTCTCTAAATTATTCCATTTTCCTGGCTCAGTGCGCACAATGAAGTGGAGACATTGGGATATTTCATAATGCGATAGAGGGCTTCAGGGTCATCACTCTGAAAATGGATTCTCCTGCCTGCCTGCGGGATGAATAGGTGGGCCAGCTCACGTGGAACTTGCACTGGGCTTAGCACGTGCTCATGATGCTTTAATTATTTTGTCACAACTTTTTCACTTTACTCCTAACCATTTCTCTCTCATAAGTGAAGATTTCTGAAACAGTCTTAAAATCA